CATCTGTTGGGAAGCGAGTATACATTCCAAGAATAAGATTTGTCCACGATAGTCCAGATTTACCTTTCACTTTTAGTAGAAAACAATTTCCTGTTAAGGTCTGCTATGCAATGACCATAAATAAAAGCCAAGGTCAGTCTCTGAAAAAGGTAGGATTATACCTATTATTTATAATACCCTATTCTTAATATAGAGGTAGGCTAGCTTTTTATTAGAAATGGCCCGATTCGAGAGGAGCAAGGTCTCCAATTACAGGAAAAGATAAATATGAGAAATATGTGATGATCAACTGATAAGTAAACCTATTATTTATAATACCCTATTCTTAATATTAAATATGGTAGCTGCTAAGGTTACGTATGGTAATTGCTCCCCACTTCCTTTGATAACCACCCCTTGATTTGGGTAACTCCAGCCAATTGCCATTTAATTGATTTGGCCTAGTGGATTCAGCCAATTCCCAAAAATAGAATTCAATTGCCCCATATTGGCAGCTGTCATACGATTCTTTTTCCTGGAATATACCTTTAGTGGATTTTTATCATTACTTCCCTCCCGGTAAAACGCCTTGTCCTCAAGGCGGAAAGTAGGGAATTGCTCCTTTATCAAATCATAAGTTTCCCATGTGGACTCTTCGATGGGGCGGTTACACCAAGAAACCAACAGTTCTAAGTTTGGGTGGCCAGCTTCACGAACCCAACGATGAGTGATGACAGAACTTGGTTGCCAGTCAATTTCCCAGTCTTTGGTGATGGGTAAAGGTGCAGTTGGGACTGAAGAAAAGGAGCCATGAGCCGGTTTAAGCATCGAAACGTGAAAGACTGGGTGAACTCTAGCTTCGGGTGGTAGTTCCAGCTCATAAGCAACTGGGCCTACTGTTCGTTTAATACGATATGGGCCAAAAAACCTTGGAGAAAGCTTCTCGTATCGGCGCTCGGCCAAACTTTTTTGACGGTAAGGCTGAATCTTCAAGAAAGCATAATCACCAACCTGAAACGTGAGTTCCCGTCGCTTCAAATTTGCTTGGTTTTTCATCCGGTCTTGGGCCTTTTGGAGGTTTTGTCGTAGGAGCTTCAACATATCATCCCTATCAAGTAATTGATGTTCCATTTCTGCATTTTTGGTTTCCCCTGTAACATAAGGAAACAAAGAAGGAGGTTCCCTGCCGTAAACAACAGTAAATGGTGTTGTACCAGTGGATGTATGGTAACCAGTGTTATAAGAATATTCAGCCCATGGTATGAAAGTACTCCATTTGGTTGGTTGTTCACTAGCAAAGCAACGTAGATAAGCTTCTAAACAACGATTTAAGACTTCCGTTTGACCATCCGTTTGAGGATGATAACTTGTGCTCAATTTCAGTTTGGTTTGACTTAATCGGAACAATTATTGCCAAAAGTTGCTAAGAAAAACCACGTCTCGGTCAGAGACGATAGAGCGAGGAAAACCATGTAATCGGATAATCTCTTTGCAAAATATCGCTGCTACCCCTTTAGCCGTGAATGGGTGAGATAAACAGAGAAAGTGAGCATATTTGCTTAGGCGATCCACCACGACTAAGATAGTATCGAAACGGCTTGATGGGGGTAAACCTACGATAAAATCAATAGAAATATCCTCCCAAACTTGGCTTGGAATGGGCAAGGGCTGAAGCAAACCGGCGGGGGACAGAGTTTGGTATTTCTGTTGTTGACATATGACACATTGTTGCACAAAAACCCTTACATCCTGTTTCATCTTTAGCCAATAATAACGAGAGCACAATAGTTTATAGGTTTTTAAAAAACCTCCATGGCCACCAAGTGGAGTATCATGTGCTTCCTGTAACAGTTTTAGCCTGAGGGAAGATACTTCAGGTATTACCAAACGCCCTTGATAAAACAAAAGCTGATTTGCAAGAGAAAAATCAGTAGCTGATGAAGGATCTTCATGTAGTTTGCTAATTAAGTCTCTTGTAAATGGGTCGGTTTGATACCCTGCTTTGATTTCAGCTACCTCAACACAATAAGGCACAATTAATGTCAACAATTCTCCTGAATGAGGTCGTCGAGATAGAGCATCAGCTCCCTTGTTCTCTTTTCCTGCTTTGTGAATAATCGAGAAATCATAAGGCATCAATTTAAGTAGCAACCTTTGCTGCTCAATAGTGGTAATTCGCTGTTCTAACAAAAATTTCAGGGTATAATGATCGGTACGGATTAAAAAATGACGACCAAGCAAGTAATGACTCCATTTTTGTACCGCCAATACCAATGCCAATAACTCTCTATCATAAGCCGATTTAAATCGGTTAGATGGAGAGAACCCCTTGCTGAAATAGGCCACAGGATGGTCTTGCTGTGATAATATTGCTCCCACACCATCCGATGAAGCATCACATTCTATGACAAAAGGTTTTGAAAAATCGGGTAGCCGAAGGACTGGAGTGGATAACAAAGCCTTTTTTAAGTCATTAAATGCTTTAAGGGCCTCTTCTGACCAGAGAAATCCATCTTTCTTGGTTAATGCAATGAGGGGACGGGCTATGACACCATAATTACGAACAAAGCGTCTGTAGTACCCTGATAACCCAAGAAAACCTCTCACTTCCTTGACTGTCGATGGTACGGGCCATGATTTAACTGCTGATATCTTTTCTTCTTCCACACTAACTCCTTTCGAGCTGATCACATGCCCAAGGAACACCACCCGTTCTTGCCCAAAGCAACATTTCGATAGTTTGGCAAAAAATTGGTTGTCATGAAGTAATTTTAAGGCCTGTTCCAAATGGAATTTGTGTTGTTCCATACTTGGACTATAAACTAAAATATCATCAAAGAACACAAGTATGAAACGTCGCAAGTATGGACGGAATAAATCATTCATGATAGCCTGAAATGTGGAAGGAGCATTAGTTAGGCCAAAAGGCATGACCTTGAATTCGTAATGACCCGAGTGAGTGCGAAAGGCCGTTTTTTCGATATCCGGGGCTGCCACTCTAATTTGATAATAACCCGATCGCAAATCGAGTTTTGAGAACACTGTAGCACCATGCAGCTCATCGAGTAATTCGTCAATATTGGGGATCGGATATTTATCGGCAATAGTTATCTTGTTGAGGGCTCGGTAATCGATGCACATGCGCCAAGAATTATCTTTCTTCTTCACTAGTAGTACAGGGCTTGAAAAATGGCTGGTGCTTGGTTGAATAAAACCAGCGGCTATCAACTGTTCCACTTGTTTTTCTATCTCATTTTTTTGGGAATAGGGATAACGGTAAGGACGGATGTTAGGTGGAGTGGAGTTTGGCATAAGTGGGATTGAATGGTTTTGTGATCGAATCGGGGGTAGATGTTGAGGCTCTTCAAAGATGGTGGTGTATTGGTTGACAACAGGTTGCAATGGGAGGGGTATACAAGGGGTAGTTTCTGGTTCAATGGCTAGGTGTTGGAAACTGGATGACTTTTGAGGACCGGATGAAATGCCTTGTAGCTTATATCGCTTTCCATCTATTGAAAAGATCATAAATAATTCCTTCCAGTTAGCTTGAACCGTATTTAACGTAGCTAACCATTGAACACCCAAAACTAGATCTGCTCCACCAAGAGAGAAGGGATGAAAATCCTGAGTGATCTTGAGGTCATTAATCTGTACAGAAAGATTTTTGCAGATTTGACCACATCGAATTAGGTCTCCGTTACCGATTTGAACACCAAAAGACATTACCGGTTGAGTCGCCAACTTAAGTTCATTCACCAAGACATCTGAGATAAAATTGTGTGTAGATCCGCCATCTATTAAAATTAAAACTTCTGTAGAATGAAGCATACCATGGATTTTCATTGTGCTAGGTTGCGATTTTCCCAGAATAGCATGTAAGCTAATTTCAGCAGTCTCCTGTTGGTCAGAATCAAGATCAGTTAGACCCATTGTAGGAGATTCTTCAACGGCTTCATCAGCTTCTAAAACCTTGAGTGTACCGGTTTTGCAACGATGACCTGGTCCGTATTTTTCGCCACATCTAAAGCATTCCCCTTTTAGAAATCGATTTTGCTTCTCATTTTCGGAAATTCTTGAAACATTTCTTGATTGGTTTGATGTTTGGGCTGGGATAAAGAGGTCGGTTTAGGATCTGCTTGTGAGAGTTTCGAATTTGGGGTTCCCGAGATATTTTTCCCAGATCGATGACAAGTGAGTTTAGATTCGAATTCCAAAGCTAAACTCATGGCACTATATACCGTACGGGGTTTGTGAATTCGTACATCTGATTTTAGTTCATCTTTTAGGCCATTTAGGAATACTCCTAAAAGACAGTGATCTGGCCAATTTGAAACCCGAGAGGTTCTCTTAGCGAACTCCTGCCGATACTCTTGTACTGTACCAGTTTGTTTAATGCTGCATAGGAACTCATCAGGGTTCTGAAACTCAACAGGGCCAAAATTTCTTGTAAATACGTGGACCAATTCTTCCCAGAAGGTGATCGGACGATCATCAGATAACCATGAATAGAGGTCCAAGGCATCTCCTTCTAAGTGCATTGAAGCTATCTCCACCTTTTCTTCATCCGGGATCTGATAGTACCTGAAGTATTTTTCGGCTTTCAGCAACCATCCACGTGGGTCTCCGCTACTAAAAGTTGGGAAATCAATTTTGTTGTAGGGTTTATGTGGCATTCGACCCCTCCAACTGCTTTCCCCCTCATCGTTCTTGCTCCCGCTGGACCATTCCCGCTTTTTCAGGGCTGCTATATCTTCCTTCATTGTTTCAATTGATTCCAGCTTTGCTGCTATGGCAGCCAATTGAGTGGCAATGGGATCGGGTGGGTTGTTGTCGCTATTCCGGGTTTGCACCATGTTATTTCCCGGCAATGGAACCAAATGATATGAACAGGGTTGTTAAGAATAGAGGTAGGCTAGCTTTTTATTAGAAATGGCCCGATTCGAGAGGGGCAAGGTCTCCAATTACAGGAAAAGATAAATATGAGTAATATGTGATACTCAACTAATAAGCAAACCTATTATTTATAATACCCTATTCTTAATATTAAATATGGTAGCTGCTAAGGTTACGTATGGTAATTCCTCCCACTTCCTTTGATAACCACCCCTTGATTTGGGTAACTCCAGCCAGTTGCCATTTAATTGATTTGGCCTAGTGGATTCAGCCAATTCCCAAAAATAGAATTCAATTGCCCCATATTGGCAGCTGTCATACAATTTTTTTTCCTGGAATATACCTTTAGTGGGTTTTTATCAGTATAGCTGTCCGCATTAAGTCAAAAAGAAACAGCCCTTTATAAAGCAATTAAAAAAGAACATAATCTTTGAAAAAAAGGAATCACCTTGTAAATGGCAGGCTCCTTTTTGAGTGCCATCACCACCAATTATGTAAACCTAAAAGTACAACACCAAGATTTTATAAAACTTTTCTTAAAAAAGATCAAATTTGTTGTTGTAGATGGAAATAAAATAACAATATAACATGAACCTGATTTATCCCACGATCCTGGATGTTATCAACAATCTTGTTTGTATCATGACCACCTCTTGAAGTCTGAAGAATAGTTCCACCACGTTTATGAATATCATTCACAATTTTTGGAGTCAATTCCATGGTGTTTCTTGAATAGAAACCCCTATATCCTCCCTCAATCCCAAGTATGTTATTAACACCATACATAAAATTCAACCCGCATACAATCTCCCTGATGACTGTGTTGATCCCTGGGCATAATCCGCCACATGTCACAATACAAGCTCGTACTTCCTCTGGCTTGAAATAAACCTAATGTTTTATAAAATTTCTTAGACCAAAATGAACTAATAATGTGTGATGTTATGTGAAAACTAGCTTAAACAAATCATCACATATTACCTTTTCACGAGGTCCTGCACGCCTAAAGTGCACTCCTCTTGGACTGCCTTTCTGAACAACAATCTGCAATTAGATGTCAAAGGTTTAAGAGCAAATTAGATTTCATGCTGAAAAGGGATGTGTCTATGTGGAATGGTTTTAGAGAAATAGTTTATGTACTTGGTGTGCTACAACATCTTCTGAACTAACAAAAGTGTTCCTGTGGAAAAGAGTGATAATGTATTTAGTAAGTTGCAAAAGTAGACATGTTTTGTAAAAAGATTAGTGCACAAGTTATGGTTATAACTTTATAAGCATAACATTACAGATCTTGAAAGAAGGGAAAAACTTACTTAACTATTGCATAGGCTTGGCTGTACTCTAACGGATTTGGATATGTCTGCAAGAAAAAAGATTAAAATAAAGATTATCAAAAACCAAGTAAGAAAAGAGTCTCATTTACTTAACTATTGCATAGGCTTGGCTGTACAAATGTCTTCAGGTTCACGAAATTTTTTACAGAAAGATGTATCTTTGATCTTCGTAGATTTTGGAAAATGGTTAGGATCGGAACTAAGGGATCATATATGAAGGCTAAAGGATAAAGTACATTAGGTGATTTCCTTTGTTCTATATAAATATATATCAATACGCATACATAAATATATGGACACGCAAAAATGAATCAACTTCATTAATATGCCGCTCTCAATCAAACTTGGACTACTCCCAAAAAGGTAAATTTGATTCTTCAGGGTAAGAATGGTGGATTCAAGTTCCAAATAAATAGGATTCCGTCACTAACGCGGATACAGAGATTTTCTTGTTGTATCATATCTTGCTGATCATCATTTTTTTTAGAACATAAATAATTTCAAAACTGAGAACTTGTTTGATTGACTTGGAAAGTGAAACAGAGATGTAAAATACCGGTAAATCAGGTAGGAAGTTCGTCAAGTGAGGAACGTCTTCGAGGACGAAACCTTCATCGTCATCATCATCGGTCGGAGTGTTACCCAGATTCGAAGTTTGAGCTCTAATAGGGTAATAACCGGTGATTAAGGACTTCCTGGAGTATATTTGCGGTTTAGAAGTGAAATTGGTGAAAAAGAGAAGGGGCTTGTGGAATCTGGGAGAAAATGGTAGCGTTTTAGTGAGAGAAAGCTGAAGATTTGGAGAAGAAGCCAGTGAAAGATCCATTGATAGTATGATTTTTGACTGAATGAATGAATAAATCAAATGCTTTTTCCTAGAGATTTTGGGCGGAGAGACGAGTATATGCAGGTTGAAGTTAGTCTTGGGAACGGCGATGGTCAAATTCGATACAAATTTTCGAGCGAATATGAATCACCGTCTAAATTTGGACATAAGTGTTTCTCAAAATGGTAATTTTAGTTTCTTTATGTTTTCACATCATATTGGTTAAAAATTTTGGGACTTGAGCTCGAGCTTTATTTTCAAAGCTTGAGTTCGGTTTAAAGAGGATTTAAAATATTCGGGTTCATACTTGTTTGTCGAGTAAGGGCATCCGCAATGCATTGAATTTCATAGAGTTCAATAGATTGTCACATCGTCTTTTTACAATTTATACAACTCAATTATTTTTTTTCTCTATGCATTGAACTCTACAAAGTTCAATAGAATGTTACAAAATATAATTTATAATAAATATTTAAGAATTATAAACTTTCATTTTTCCCGTTAAAAAATTCAATGGCGATTGAACTCCAAATTCATTGAATGTCAAGGTGACATCTCATAATGATACAGTTTCATCCATTGAATGACACATGGACTTTTCATCTCTTTCAACTCTCTTACTGAACTAAACATTGAGGATGCTCTAAGTATAAACAAGCTTAAGCTCAGCACGAGCTCGTCTCGGTTAATAGTCAAATATCAAGCTCATTTTTGTTTTTAAGTTCGTTAAAAGGCTCGTTTATCATTATTTAATATTTGATACTAAATTATAATTTAATATATAAAATTAAAAATAAAAATTATATTATATAAATATGCATAGGCTCACGAGGGGCGGCTCAACCAATCTGGGGGCTCTAAGCAAACAAAAAAATTAGGACCCTTCGGATAAGCAAAGAGATTCAAACTTGAGACTCTCAATTTTACAAACCAATGCTTTTACTACCAAGACAAGCTCCAACTTGTCTTTGTAATCTAAGAAATATGTGTGTGTGTGTGTGTATATATATATATATATATATATATATATATATATATATAATTACAAAATAAGTTTTAAATTTGAGGGCCCTAAGCCCTTGCTTAGTTTTTGCAAAGGGTAGAGTCGGCATTTAGGCTCACGAGCCTAATCGAGCTCGGCAGATGAAGCTAGGGCTCGGGCTCGTTTAATAAATGAGCCTAAAACTAAGTCCGAGCTCGTTTAACTCAAGTTTAAGTCAAACTTTTAATAAGTTTATCCCAAATAGCTCACAAGTAGTACGACTCGTTTAAACATATTCATTCTTCTAATATAAAGTTATTTTTAGTTTATGATATAGTAGGCATAATTGACTCAATGTGTCCAACACAATATCAGATTACTGGATTGAAATTTTAAACCATATTAATTAAAAAAATATAAAACAACAAAAAAAATATCATATGTGACATAATAACCAATTTAGAAGTTTATTATGTAGTTTTCGAGAATGGCATCACAAACTAACATTAAATTCACAAAGTAACTCTATGATATACTCGGAAGAATCACATAACACTTTTCGTTTAAGATTTTGCTCATGCCACGCCAAAGAGATCGTTCCATGTTGGATGAAAAACTTTTCATTCTTCCAGCTAAATCTCAACATCCTGCTTGAAGGCATCTCCTAACGTCTCGGTTTAAACATTTAAATCTATAGAGATCATGACTTGTACTCCGTGATGCCACCCTATACATTTCACAACTTGATCATTTTAGTACTAACATGACATGTATGCATTCTCTACTACTTACAATCCATTAATTGACCTCAATGCAAACATCACTTGTATTCATCATATCAAGTCTCATGTCTTACAAGTGCATAAAAAGGTTCCATGCTTGAACATATGTTTTCGTACGTTAAGAATGAAGAATAGGAACGATATTATTCTTGAATGCAAGTAGTTTGAAACAAGTGGGGTGTTTGCATACCATTATGGTTGCAAGCATTCATTATCACTAAAGTATAAAATAACATGAAATTTAGAAAGTTCTCAAAACTACTTGATTTTGCTTTTGGATTTAATAGTTTTTGTTTAAAATGAATACTTTAAGCATGTACTTCCCAAAAAAAATTATTAAGTTCAAATTTTTTTTCTCAAAAGCTAAAATCTTGTTCTCAACACATCCTATCATCAAAAATTATGTATGAAACTATACTTTTAGAAGCACTTCAACCCAAATCTAAATACAATCTCACATCAGGCATTCTTGTATGGAAGACAAGATAGACATCCAAAACCTCATTTGTGATTTAATAAATAAAAATTACTGAAGTTGCCAAAAGATTTTGTAATTAAACATGAAATAATGAATTTGTCAATAATTTCCCCTATATCATAAAAAATAAAAATAAAAAGTACACTAAAAATAAAACAAGTTGGTATAACTAAACCAGCAAGAACATGGGTACATAATTGCATGCGGAATTTAGTTAACAAAGGCACATGTTTCAACCTCATCGACTCCTTTCAAGAGACATCTTCTCATCATGTATGTAGGATAATGTTGTTAAATAGCAACCAACTATCAAAAATGTCCAATAAAGTCCCAAAACTATTTTCTTTACGTCTAACATACCATCAATTATGGGTATATTCATTAAACTTTGAAAAAATGACCATAACTCATGTGATATACACATGTGTTTTGCATATTAATTTGTGATGTAATATGTATATGGAAATATATATATTATAGTTGAACAACACACCCATGTCATGTGTTTCGCATATTAATTCTTGGAATTACATCACAAACTGCTTTCTGTACAACACGCTCTAAGCCAGTTACCTTAATTAGTAGATAGCTGGCAAGAGTTCTAAAGACAAAAATGATCAATCATATGTTGAATAACATCTGCCCCATCTGTATGCAGGTTGTCATCTTTTACCTACATCCAATAAGGGCATAAAAGTAAAATTACTATTATTTGCTTGTAAAATTTCTTGTTTTTAAGCTTAGCTTACAAGATAAGAAAAAAAAAAAAAAAAAAAAAGTAGTACCTGAATAACACTATGAGCAGCAAACCTGGATCTACTATTGTGAAAGCTCACATCTACTTTTTCCCATGATACACGAGAAAGCCCAGTCACAAGTTCCTCTGTACCACAAAACAAACCTTAATTTAATTAGGACAAATGAAAATCCTTTGTAACATCAATGATTAAAGTCTTGTATGGGTAAAGTGTTGTATACATAATTACATATAGTCTGTTTGTGGACTGAATAAACCTTCTGAATGATACTAAATGACCATTTTTAGCCCTTACTTTATAAAAATCACAAGATTCATCAATTTTAACTCGAGAGGAATTGGGAGGAAAATTGAACAAGGGCAAATAGATAAAGGGGTTAGTCTCTTAATACATTAAGCCAGGTTTTTTTACTTAACCCATTGAGACATTTTGTCCACAGTATGGGTAAAGTGACTGAATGGATAATGTCATGATGATGTTTGACCGGATAAAGTGTTTAATACATCTAAGTCTGTTTCTTTAATTTATGAACTGAACAAACTACTAAATGACCATTTTACCCTTGCATTCAAAAAAAAAACAATCCATGATATTCATCAATTTAAACGTGAGAGGAGTTGGGAGGAAAAGGAATAAGGGCAAATAGGTAAAGGTCAGTGTCTTAACTCTTAATAGTTAATACATTAAACACCTTTTTTGGCTTAACCCATTAATTTGTGTCTAGATTAAGTAAAAAAGAAACAGCCATATATATCTGTCCAGATTAAGGGCTTAACCCATTAAGTTCATTAAGTCAAAAAGAAACATCCCCAAAAACAAACCTTCCACATCATCTGAATTATCGCCACTTGTCAGATCCGGCTCAAAATCATACGCCTTGCAGCGTTCTTCGTACACGACATGAGGATACTTTTCATTTACAGAGTCCTCCCACTACAACCACAATATCAGATATATAAAATAACAATTAAAAATGTACACTGATGTATTGACAAAAAAATATTAAAGCTTATGATGTATGTACCTTTGGTAGTTCTATGTTACGCCTAATTGATGAAGTTCTCCAGCCAACAATATCTAATTTTGTTAGTTAGGGAAAACCAAGGAAAGTAAAGAATGAATCACAAATTGTATTCCCTCAATCATTAAATCACAACTTTGGTCCCAAAAGTAACTAGCTTGCAATTTTGGTCCTGATTTTGATGTTTCGTAACAATTTTGGTTCCTCAATTGTTAAATTTAACTCTTCAGTGTTAGGTATTTTTATTAAATGACCATTTAGCCCTTGGACCAACCAGAAAACAAAACAGTCTACCACAGGGAACAATTTTGTAATTTTCTCATAAATTTATTATTAAACTATTTTCAAAATAATAAGGTATTCTATTACATTATCTTAAAAACTACAAGTTTTTAAATTATTTTACCTTAAACGACCATTTTTTCCTTGGCCCATTGACATTTTTTGTTCATAATTTTCAATCTTGTAAAATGTGAATACTACTAGTTTAAACACGGACACAATTTGCAAAATTCTAACTTTTTAACAGATTACTACATATGAAAATTTATTGTAATGCAAATTGTATTCATATTCAAGACATTGGTATTTACAAAATTCAAAAAATAATGAACAAAAAATGTTGGTGGGCTAAGGAAAAAATGGTCCTTTTTAAATGAAAAATAACTAAAAAAACATTCCTATAAGATAATTAAAAATAAAATACATGATACTTTATAAAAAAGTTTGATAATAAAATCAAGAGATAATTACAGATTTGGTCGCCTATTTTTCTTTAGGTCCAAAGGGCAAAGAGGTCATTTTGATTAAAAAAACAAACTAATTAGTTAGATTTAGCGATCAAGGGACCAAAAGCATCACGAAACATCAAAATAAGGACCAAACTTGCAAACCGATTCCTTTTGGGACCAAAACCCAAAAAAAATATCACTAAAATTGTAACTTACTCTTTTATATAATATTTTCAGCCAAATTAATAGGGTGCAAAGGATACGATCATAGCCAACATTTGCGTATGTGACCCGTCTTTGGAATGAGCGTAATGCTGACCTGGATTTTGTTAAAAATATTAAAAACCAATAGAAGAAACATCTGATAATGTAAATCATTAATTAAAATTTAAAAACAGGTATGCCAAACATACATGAAATAACAATCACCATAATCCTCCAACATCCGGTTAAGTAGTGGAGGCTTTCCTTCTTCATTATCCGTAA